TGCTGCCCGAGGAGCACACGGAGCTGCACATGTGCAGGGGCTCGGCCTCCGCCTCCTCCGCGGTCTCGGGGGCAGACGCGGACTCGCTCGGCTGCTCCTGGCTCTTCTTTAGCCTGCGGGAGCGGAGGAAGCGGGAGTTACACAGCTGCTCCCCAAGCTCTGAAATGCCCCAAAACAGCCTGCGAGGCTTCAGCCCTCCCAGACCTCGGCCACGAGTGGTCACAGCACAGCCAGGCTCCTGCCAGCCTCCTCCTGCACAGAGCCTGCCTCACGCTCTGCCTGCGGACCAAACAGCCCCAATCCTGCGGGAGAATTGCCTTTAATCAAACCCTTTCACTGCCTGCCTATTCCCACCAGGGACTTTTCCAACCTTAATGTTCGCATGAATCTATTCTAAGTGTTACAGACCTCCACAGTCATTGAGTCCAATCTTCCTCACCTTCATTTCCCAAAATATCATCTGCTAAAAGCAGGATGGGTGAGGAGGTGCTATGGGGGAACGGGGGCAGTGTCACACATGTGTTAAATCCCAGAAGCCTCTTTACAGCGTATTTTATTTAATGGCAGTTAATAATCCCTGATCTTGCCTCCCTTTGTGGCCAGAAACATTTTTCATACACAGGCAGCAGCTGAGCTCTGCTGACACCAGTCACCTGGGGCTAAACCAGCAGCAAGGTGCTCCTGGCTGTCAGGCACTGATTCATAAGGGAAGTCAGAAAAAGGAGTACATTTCCCTAAAAACATCACCCCACACACTCACTTCTCTCTGTTGAAGATGACAAAGTCCTGCTGGATAGCTTCAAGGCATTCCTGGAGATAGTCATTTTCCTATTGAAGAAAAACAAAACACGCATAAGCAGCCCCATTTGCATCTCTTTGCTGCCTGCAGCCCCTAGCACTCCCAGCTGTGTTCAGGAGCCCCCAGCTGTGTTCAGGAGCCCCCAGATGTGTTCAGGAGCCCCCAGCTGTGTTCAGGAGCCCCCAGATGTGTTCAGGAGCCCCCAGCTGTGTTCAGGAGCCCCCACCTCCCAAACCTCAGCCCAACAGCTGGAGGCAGCAGGGCTGGCTGCCATGTGGCTTTCACCAGGGGCTTGTGCCATCCACAGCAGCAGTTTTCCATAGAACACAGATCACACTGCTCCTGACACAGTGATCACAGTGAACACAGTGCATTTATCCGTGTGTCTGGATTTTGGGAGTGCTGCCAGCCCAAAGGAAGCACAGCCAGAGCCCAGCACACAGCCCACAGACACAGGGAGCTGCTGCCTTGTGCCAAGGCTCGCGCAGCCCTGGGGCTGTGCGGGGCCAGAGGCTGAGCACACCGGGCTGCCCAGACCTTTGCTGCTCGTTTCACTTTCCAAAGTACCCACTACTGTGAAAGTTTGGTCAAACTTCCATAAGAGGAAAACGTGGTTGTTGAAATTACTCCAATGGGCAAATGCTTTCATCAATATAAACCCGTGTCTTGCACAGTGTGGCTGTACCAGCTGCAATACCCGCCCAAATCCAGCCTTTTCCCAGCTGGATGTTACCCCAGGCAGCACATACAGACTGGGAGCTGTCTTTGCTGTTATCCCTTGACTTGTTCTTTGCGAGCCTCTTCTTCTTCTTGTGCAGGGGCCTTGACTCCAGAATCATCTCCTCCAGCTCGAAGGTGGGGTCGCAGTGCAGGCGGCCCTTCTGCCAGGACACACGACACGACTCACGTCAGGCACAGCAGAGACTCAGAAACCACTTCCCCCTCAGAGAACCCCTGCTCTCACAGCGGTTCCTCCAGTCTGGGGAGCAGCCCCTGCTCGGGATGGGGACACAGGTCACTCCACTCACGTTGGGGACGAAGCCCGGCTCCACACGCTTCTCGCACACGTCGCTCCAGACCACGCCGGACAGGTGAGCCGAGGCCTGGATGTGGGCCAGGCAGGAGAAGCGATGCTCAGGATTCACTGTCAGCAGCTGGGGAGGGAAAAACGGCGGTAATAAAGCATTGCAGAGAAGGGCTTTCCTGCCAGAGGAGGAAGACAGGGCACCCAGCAGCAGCCTGCCTGGGCCAGCTGCAGTGGTCCAGCCATGCCAAGGAGCCTTTCTGCTGTGGGAAATAGATAACTTTCTGCAGGAAAAATACCTAAGAAGATGTTGTGCAGGTACCCCAGCGCTCTGGGGGGACGTGGGGGTCCCCTCCCGGCTGCTGGCACATTCCCGGTGAGAGGCTGGATTCCCTGGAAGCCTGGCTGCCCAGCAGATGGCAATGCAAACCTGCCGAACGCACCACCTCTGCCAGCAACGCTGCTCCTCATCAAACTGAATCTAATTATGCAAATTACCCAGCCAGCATTAACTCATTCAGAGGCACTTGCTGCCGGCAGTGGCTGTATCTTTCCTACAGCAAACTCGCCAGTTACTTTTCAGAGTTCTCAAGCAAGCCATGGCTAAAGCAGCTGCCCCAGCACATCCCAGCTTTCTCCAGCAGCAGCATGAGGAAAGCAGCAGAGCATTCCATAGAGCTGGGACCCCCCAGCAGCTCTCACAACCCCTGCAGCCCCAAAGGAGCAGGGAGAGGGAGCAGCCAGTGCTGCTGCAGAGGTGTGCTCCACCTCCCCTGCCATCCCAGCCAGGTGAGGAGAGGCTGGGATGCTGGAAGGCACAGTTCTAGCCCAGCTGGGAACCTGACTGTCACACCAAAGCCAGCCTCAAACATCGTGCATCTTATTACAGGGATAATAAACACATAACACACATAATTAATCATGGAGTCCCAGACTGGATTGGACTGGAAGCTCCTTCAGTGCCACCCCTGCCATGGCAGGGACACCTTCCCCTGCCCCAGCTGCTCCAGCCCCAATGTCCAGCCTGGCCTTGGGCACTGCCAGGGATCCAGGGGCAGCCCCAGCAAATTTGGGAAGTCCATCCCCACCCTGCCAGGGAACAATTCCTGCCCAAAATCCCACCCAGCCCTGCCCTCTGGCACTGGGAGCCATTCCCTGTGTCCTGTCCCTCCATCCCTTGTCCTCAGTCGTTCCCCAGCTCTCCTGGAGCCCCTTCAGGCCCTGGAAGGGGCTTTAAGGTTTCACTGGAGCCTTCTTTTCAGGATTTAACATCCATAACTCTCCCAGCCTGTTTTTTGTATATTATGATTATTATTACTCTTATTATTAATTGTTTATTAATATGCTGATAATTTTCCAGCTAGTCCTGCCTGCACATGTAGTGCCATCCAACCCAAACCCACCCCAGAAGGACAATTCATCCAACAATTCATCCAGCTGCACCCCAGAAGGAGCATTCACCTTCCGCAGCAGTGCGACCATCTCCTTGGACCAGGCTGAGGAGTACTGCACGCTGACCGTGCTGAAGAGCTGCACCAGAGACTCCACGGGGTTGTTGGAGTGGATGTCATACGGCCTCTGGGGACAAGAGCACAAAGGTGAGGAGTCCCCTCTCCCTGTTCAGCCAGAGCACACGATCCGAGGGCCGGGACGGCCAGTGCCCTACCCAGCCCCGCAGCAGCTCGTAGGCCATGATTCCCAGAGACCACCAGTCCACCTCGAAGGAATAGCCCGTCCCGCCGCTCAGGAATGAGTGGAAAATCTCTGGGGCTGAGCAGAAAGGGATAACATGCAACAGGTTATTTGTTGTTCTCTATTCCAGCATTTCATGTCAGTCAGTGCACAACGCTCACGGTGGTTTTCCTGCACGGCTGCCTGAGGGGAGGCTGTGTGAGGAGGGGGAACAGCAGCAGCAGCAGCAGCCGTGTGCCTGCCCTCACTGGGAACTGGGAGCTGATCACCTGCAGGGACAGCCCTCCCAACACAGCACAGCACAACCACGGGACCCCCAGAGACACCAAGGGCAGGACGAGGTGGGGAGGGCAGGAGGAGGAGGCTGGGTGGGATGAGAAGGGCAGGGTGGGATGGAGGGGACTGCACAGGATGTAGTGCAGAGGATGGGATGGGGTGACATGCCAACCATGATGCCTTCACACTGGGACTTCCCCTTGTCAGACAGTCAGGCTCTGCTGGAGGACTTGGGCACAAGCACCAAGGCCCCACATTACCTGGACACCCCTGCCCCAGCCAGGGCCCGTTGGGCAGCGTGTGCTGAGCACTCAAAACGTGACACAGGCACGAGAGCAGCGATTGTTTCTTACCCATGTATGGCTTTGTCCCAGCCAATGCTGTCGCTCTTTCACCGTCCCTAATGATTGTTGCAATATTAAAATCTGTTAAATGGGCATGACCTTAAATAAAGACACATTTAAAGAAGGGATTAATGGCAGTGCAGTGGCAATGCAGAGTCAGAACACATTTGTTTCATAAGCTTCTGCCATCAGACAGGGTAGCACAGACATGGGCAGGTCAGGATCAGATCCTATGGAATAGCCATAAAAGGTTTCCCAGGATTTGGGCTGGCCAGGTGATTAAAGGGTAGGGAGCTTTGGGTGTTGATTTTAAATCACACTTGGAGCTAGCCAGTAACCCCCAGCAGCTTCAGCACTGGCCAAATTGCTCTGGCCAGAAGCTACAGGAGTGAAAAAGACACCAGGGAAACACTAACATAGAACCACAGAATGTTTGCATTGGAAGGGACTTAAAAGATCATCTCGTTCCACACTCCTGCCACTCGACATGGGAGTTCCTATCACTGCAGCTGCTGACCTGCAATGGCTCCAGGCTCCCAGGGCTGAAGTAGGGCTGCCTGTCCATGCTGAGCACAGCACACTGGACAGGCCAGGTGGGTGATCCTCCCCACCTTAAAAAGCACAGGGATGTTCAGCCAAACATGATCCACCAAAAGTAGAGCAGCTTTCCCCACACTTTGAACAGGTAAAAAGATGCCCAGTACCCAGGACTACAAAGAATCTGTCCCTGGAATGAATGAGGGAGCAAACAAAGAGGAGCAGAGTGATCCTACCTTGTTCATCGAGGAGGATGTTGTCTGGTTTTACATCTCTGGGAAAAGAAGGAAGATTACAGCAGATGGAATCTCAGCCAGACCAGGGATGAGACTCAATGAAAAAATCTTGCAATTGTTTATCTATCAAAAAATTAGGAACAAATAAAACAAAGATACTCTCACATGAGGCAAGCCCCTTTATAATGGACTAGGAATAGTCTTTTCCTGGGCAACTTGGTGAAAAACTGGAAGCATTAGACTTGTTCTGGCCTCGTTCCCAAGGAGAAGGAATAACAATTCTGTGGATATTCGTGTGAAGCCCTGGATGGCTTTAACAGCTGCCCTGAAATGTTCATCCCCCCGGTGGAGCATCAGACTCGCTGTGAGCAGTGGGGAGCAGGAGCAGCAGCACAACAGCCCGAGGACAGCAGCAGCAGTGTGGGTTACCTGTGGATGATGTGCTGACTCCGCAGGTAGTCGAGAGCCAGCGCCATCTCACAGATGTAGAGTTTGACTGTCTCCTCGGTGAACTGAACGTTCTGCTGCAGGTGATAGCGCAGGTCACCTCCCAGCAGCAGGTCCACCACCATGAACATGTCCTCCTCGTCCTGGAAGGAATACCTGCGGGAGTGGGGAGCGGCTGAGCCTCACTAGACTCACAAACCCAGCCAGGCTTTTCCCTCTCCTGATTACACAGCTCCTGGGAGAACTGCACAAGGCCCCACTATGGGCACAGAATCCCAGAAAAGCTCTCTCTGAGTCCAGCCATTCCCAGCACTGCCAAGGCCACCAGTGACCATATCCCCAGCTGCCACAGCCACGTGGCTTTTAAATCCTTCCAGAGATGGGGACTCTACCACTGCCCCAAGCAGATGTTCCAGGGCTGGGCAGCCCTTTTGGATAGAAAATTTTCCCCAGTGTCCACCCTGAGCCTGCCCTGGCCCAGCCTGAGCTGTTCCCTCTCCTCCTGTCCCTGTTCCTGGCAGCAGATCCCAAATCCCCCCGGCTGTCCCCTCCTGCCAGGGACTTGTGCAGAGCCAGAAATTCCCCCTGAGCCTCCTTTGCTCCAGCCTGAGCCCCTTCCCAGCTCCTCAGGAATTCTCCAGCCCCTTCCCAGCTCCTCAGGAATTCTCCAGCCCCTTCCCAGCTCCCTCAGCAATTCTCCAGCCCCTTCCCAGCTCCCTCAGGAATTTTCCAGCCCCTTCCCAGCTCCTCAGGAATTCTCCAGCCCCTTCCCAGCTCCCTCAGCAATTCTCCAGCCCCTTCCCAGCTCCCTCAGCAATTCTCCAGCCCCTTCCCAGCCCCATTCCCTGCCCTGGACACGCTCCAGCCCCTCCAGGTCCTTGCAGTGATGGGCCCAAAACTGAAGATTCAGCTTTGCTACTTGCACCTTTGCAATGAAGCAAGTCCAGCTCAAGATGCTCGCTAGTTTTTCAAATCAATTCCTCCACTAAGCAATGCTTCCCTGGAGAGATGAGTATCCCAGGTAATGTCCCCCTGCTCACCCCATCCCTGAGCAGCTGTGCCATGTCAGCCCAGCAGCACAGAGCTCGGGCTCTGCCAGCCAGACACTTCAGAGAAACTTCACATTTTCAACTGCAAACAATCTCATAAAACCTACTTAAAATATCTCACCCTATCTTGAAGATGAATTGGAAAACACAACTTCTAATTTAACCAGATAAACCAGAAAAAGAGATTTATATTTACTATGGAGTAAACCGCCTCTCTAAATCTGCCGTGGGTCCCACGGGAGACTGACAGCAGTGGGGATACACCAAAACAACGCTCATTGTTATATTTGGTGACTGTAGTTCCAAGGAAAGAGTATGTGGGATTGTATAATACTCATGAATCACTCACTTCTGCTCCCATCTTAAATATAGGTTTATTCTAAAACTATGAGCCGAAAGGGTTTGCTGCGGGAGCAAGTTCTCTCCAGAACTTCTTTGCATGTCGGGAAAAACATTCACAATTGCTAAGAAACTGAAAAATATCAATATTAACTCTACTGGCTATTCTGGAGCAATGGATCAACAAAATAAATGTGACACATCACCCACTTCCATCACTTTGGGTATAAAACTTCCTCAGTTTTTAGAGGTGTCCCCCTCCCCGCCAGCCTGGCACACATCCAGCACTGCTGGAGTGGGAGGGGACCCTTCAGTGGGCAGCAAGGCTGAGGAAGGACAGGTCATCACCTGGAGCAGCAGGTGCCAAGGCCTAGGGCTCACCCCAAACTAACCAATGACCTTAGGGTATAATGCTCTACTTCCTAAAACTGTGAATTAGTTTTTCCTGCAAAATTTGGTAATGATGTGTCTGAGCTCCAAAGGAACGTGTTTCATTTGGCCAGCGAGCGTGGTGCAGAGCACACCAAGGGATGCTGATGTGGTGGTAGGGCAGGTGAGACAGACTGCAGCCTTTGCTGCTGGCACTGCCTGGACAGGACACATTTCACAGGCAACGATGACTCAAGCTATGTGTTAGATTACAACCTGATTTTAAGAGTGTTTTTTAAAATTCGACCCTAAAACGTTGCTCAGAAATGAAGATACTTCTGCCAGTGCACACACAGTGGAGTCATTACTGAGCAACTGGAAATGTCACTCTTTGCAGTGATCTGCTGCTGAAAATGTTATGGGAACCCTTGGAATTACCATGTGTGTGGCTGTGTGGGCACTGGAGGCACAGGGGAGGGAGCTGCTCACCAGAGATTCACCAGGAAGACGTGCTCGATCTCCTGCAGGATCTCCAGCTCTCTGAAGACGTTGCGCACCTCGTCCCTCTCGATGCACTGCTGCTTGTTCATGTACTTCATGGCGTACATCTTCTCCGTGTCCCTCTTCTGCACGATGCACACCTGGGGCGGGGAGAGAAACCGTCAGGAACACGTTCCACATCCTCATCCACTGCTTTGGGAGCCGAGACTCGCTCTGCTCGGCCCCTCAGCCCCCCGAACAGCCCCGATCCCCAGGCTGAGGCTTGGGGACAGCCAGCAGCATCCCCGCTCCCAGCGCCGGGCCCGGCTGGCGGAGCAGCGCTTTGCTCCGGCCTGCTGGAGCCGCAGGGCACGGGGGCACGGAGAGCTGCCCGAGGGACAGCTTCTCCTACAGTCGTGTCTGGGAGCTGTGCGAGTGTGCTGGCTCTGCATGGACAGCGGCATCAGGCACCTGTCGCTCTATTAGGAACAGTGAGAGGAATGACACAGACTCTCTAGGAGTCGATCAGGAGAATTCCTCTCGGTTTATTACTTCAGGTCTTTTTTATAGACCGATACATGAAAAGTACAGAAAAGAAACTCTTATTGGTTAGCAAACTAACACATCACCATCATTGGTCAGTGGGGCTCACCAGCCCTCGACCTTCTCTTGCCAGAAAACAAGGAACAGACAAACAGCATCTGCAAGGCTGTTTTCTGTCTCTGAGGATTGTTTTAATTCCTCCCCATGATTTCCCAGGCCACTTTCTCAGGCAAGACTGAGAAAGCTATGTGGCCTGCTATTCCACAGGCACTGTGCTGCCTGCTTCAGAGTTAGCATCCATAGGCACCCACAGGGTTCCCTTCCAGCCCCGTGTCCCGCTGCTGCCCAGGGAGGGTTTCACTGCCCCGCACATCCCCGTGCCGGGGAAGGAGAGAAAAACCCCTTTGGGTCCACAGAAAGCAACTGAAATGCGAATGTGTGACAAGGAACCCGTGGCCAGGGGGGATACCCCGGACAGAGCCCGGAGCCCGCTGGGGACCCTGGCTGCCTCCTCAGCTCCGCTAATGACACCTTAATTACCAAGGTGGCTGCTTGTAAAAGAGCTAATTAGCTCTCACGGTGACTATTTTTAAATGAACTAATGGCGTGTCTACATGTGCTGTAATGATGTGTGCCTTCTGCTCATTATCAGACACGCCGCTAATGAGGATGAGCCGGTCATGGGCAGGGATTGGGTCCCGCTCAGCCCGTGCCGAACCAGCAAAGGGAATTTCTGGGGATTTCAGGGAACCGCAGCCGGCTGGGAGCTTGGATAATAACCATCTGCAAGTGCTAATGGTGCTCGCTATAATATCATCAAGGACACGCTGCCGCAAGGAGGTGACAAAATAATGTGTGGTTATCGTTAGCCTGACAAACCCCCCAATTAGCGATGCACAGGAATTACCAGGATTGTTCTCCGCAGTCCTTACAATTACGGTGAGAGCTGAAAATCAGCTGTTGCCGGAACTCTCTGCACACCCCAGAGCTCACGGCAAGGGCACCTCGTGGGCAGAGTGACCTGAGCTGCTTCCCTGCGTCTGGACCCCTCCGGTGCCCATGGGCGAGCACAGCCCATCAGCCCCGGCTGCCAGGGACCGTTCCAGGTACAAAACATAAGGGAAAACCTTCTTTGTGCAAACTTAATAATAATAATAAACCACCTACAGCAATGCACGCCACCAGCAGGATCCAGCCCCTGCCTAGAGCAGGCTGAATTGGTTGTACATTCAATAACCAGGCAAAAATAACTTTATATTTTATAAATTCTTTGAGCGGCAAAGCCCTAACAATTTTCCTTTAAAATTATGGTCATTGTTGTAGAACTGCTCTGAAAACAATCCTCTGGGTAACAGCCATCAAGTCACGGAGCAACATTCTCTCCTGATGTCAGTTTATTCCACATTATTGCTGGAGGCTCATTAATTTCTAGGTGGCTTATACTTTAGGTTGTGACTGTTGTACCTTAATGAGTATTGCATGTTATTCTGGTGTCATTTGTCTCTCGTTTCTCCACAGTGAAAATGGAAGCCCAGCATAATAAATGAGAATATGATGAAAACTTCATGTACTCTGTAATGATGATAAACAGTTTTCTGCAACGGAACAGCATCACCTCCACACCCAGCAGCACCAGCTCCGGGCCCTCTGGAAATGTTTGTTCTCTGATTTCTTGGGGGAGAAGTGGATGTCAGTGGTGGCCCGTGGCACGAGCAGGGGCTGTCCATGGGCACAGTGAGCCCCACAGCCGATGGTCAGGAGCTCTGTGTCCACAGCAGCAGCTCCTGAGCACACCACACCGCTCTCAGCCGGGGTCCGACCCAAATCAAACCAACACCAGAACCGGTTCTGGTGCTGCCTCAGCTGGGCTCAGCCACTCGGTGCCCCCGGCACAGGCAGTGACCACTCCTAACACCCCTCTTTACAGAAATGCATCAATGTGTCTGTGTCCCCCCAAAATGTCAGTGACACAAGACACATCTTTATCTTTTTGTTCTTCTCCGTTCGTGCATCTGTTCCTGGGGAAGGAATAAACATCTCTTTGGTAACAAGTCAAGAGTGCATTTTTAAATTTATCCATTTTCAGGCAAGTCCACAATGCAGAGCAGGGCAAGAAGCAGAAATGACTCTGTCCTCATTCTTGACAATGCAGCTACACAAAGGGAATGTTTGGTGGATAAATGCAGCCATTAGGAAAAGGAGTGGAAGGGAGCCAGCCCTGCGAGGCAGAAGGCGGGTGGCAGCTGGGAGTGGATTGCTCAAGACACGGCACAGAAAAGCTTCCCCAGAGCCCCAGATACCCCCAGCATTCTCGTGCAGCTGCCCATCCTGCAGGGACAGCTGGAGATCCCACGATTCCAGCCAGGACACGGCATGGGACACCTGCCAGGCCCACTGCAGCCCACGGGCCGAGACAGGGACAGCACCTGTGCTGTGACAGGGACAGCACCTGTGCTGGGACAGGGACAGCACCTGTGCTGTGACAGGGACATCTGTACTGTGACAGGGACAGCACCTATGCTGTGACAGGGACAGCACCTGTGCTGGGACAGGTACAACACCTGTGCTGGGACAGGGACATCTGTACTGTGACAGGGACAGCATCTGTACTGTGACAGGGACAACACCTGGACTGTGACAGGGACAACACCTGTGCTGGGACAGGGACATCTGTACTGTGACAGGGACAGCATCTGGACTGTGACAGGGACAGCACCTGGACTGTGACAGTAACAACACCTGTACTGTCACCCCAGCTGGCAGCCCATCTCAATCCCTACATTTCCCAGCCTGGTGCAATGCCTCAAGTGGGCTCTGCCTTTTCTCCTTTAGAAATCCAAGAACTTTTTGCCCTGCTGATTCGGAAGGAATCCATCAGGCTGAAATCCCACTCAGTGAGAGGTCACCTAATCAGACCTGTGTTAGTCAGGGGCAGCCCAGTTTTCCTGGGCTCAGACAAAGCCAGTGGCTGCATTCTGGGCAGGATCCACGCAGCTGGTAAATCGTGGGGCTGCACATGGACATTGTTTCCTCCTGCAGTTGCAGAGGTCACCCAAAGTGAAGGTACTGGTGACCCCCTGCGGGATGTCACCATCAGGGCTGCTGCACAAACCCACAGCTGACTCAGGGATCTGTCTTCAGCTCTGAACTGGGAGCAGTGGCTTTCCTTCTTGGATTTCTGCTCCTTTGGCTTCTGCCTGTGTAAGACAAGCCCAATGCCCTGTAATCCTTCCACACACAGCCACTGCTGACTGCGGCTCAGAGCCACGGGGACATTTCAGCCTACAAGCCTGGATTTCACTCTTTTTGTTTTCAGAGCAGAGTCAAGGCTTAGAGTCAGCCAACACTACACACCTCCATCAAACACCTTAATCCCACCCAGCTCTGAACCGTGGCCAGGCACTGCTCTGGTTTATAAAAATGCTTATTTGCAGTGGTTGCACCTTGCCCACACATAGATTTCCCCTCCAGCTTCTGCTGGGTATTTATGCCTCCCGTTTTCCCCCATATCTATAGAACTGCCATTTACCAGAAAGGCTGAAATTTGAAATGCAGAGCATTAACATGAAATTGCCCATGGCAGCCAGAAACATCAGCAGGCTCTGGGACTGCGTGGGGAAAGGAGTCTCTGCTGTGGGGGAAGCACGGCAGCAGCCTCAGGGGGTGCTGGGGAAATGGGACATTTGCAGCCTCTGGAAGAACTAAGTCTGTCATTCTGAAGGACCAGAAGCAGTGGGAAGGCACTCACCTTGATGTAGAAACAGCTCAAGCTTTTTTGACAACTGATTTCATTTCTGAACACTAAATTTTACTTTGGAGACAGACTGCAAGGGCCAGGACAGGCTGCACAGTTGTGTTCACTGCCTTCCTGAGCTTGTTGAGAAAAGAGTAAAGCAGGTGAGAGGGGCTTCACTGCACCTATGCACTGCTGAAAGGATAACCTCAATATTGACTTCTAACAAGTTCATCTCCTTTAGCCAAGTTCTCCTTGAATGGCTCAACTCTTACACCAAGACATGATTCCCTTTTCCCAGGGTTTCCATCCTTTAGGAAGTGGCTGGAGGGAAATCCCTGTCACCCAGCATTCCTAGGATCCCTCTGCTTTGCTCTTGTACCAAGAACTGCACACAGAATCTTGCCAATTATCTATTAATAAATAAATAAATGAAATCATTTAAACTCTCAGCTGCTGTCAGGAAAGCTGCAAACAAGGATCACTCTGTTCTGGACATGGCCACAGCTGCACAGGACACAGAACTGCTTCCCCTGGCATTCAAATGCATCTGTGTATCCATCCTGTATTATGATAGTGCCATTGAATTGAAATTGAATTGAAATTGAAATACAACCCTTCCCTGGTAATTAGCATCTTGAAATACTGGTAATCAAAAAGTTCATAATCATTTGTTCTACAATCCTCACAAATATTAAGGATAAAATTGGCTGATCAATTTTTTTTAGGCATAGCCAAGAGAACAAAGGCTAAAGCTGCCTGGCAGGTGTACCTGCAGTGACAATTCAGACAATTCAGGGTTCCCTGAGCACGGGAACCACAGGAACAGCTAAATGAAGCATCTCCCACAGGTACCCCAGGAGCAGCTCCCCTGCACCAGCAGCC